GACAAAGATTTGTCCTGACTGTGGGCAAGGCGGAAAACTCTAGCTACATATGAGACCTCAAAGCCCACCCCCACAGTGACATACTTCCTCCAAAAAGGCCACACCCACTCCAACAAGGCCACGCCTCCTAATAGTACCACTCTCTATAGGCCAAGCATTCAAACGCATGAGTCCTTGGGGGCCATACCTATTTAAACACCACACATCATAGATATTAAGGTAATTTCATGGTTCAGCTGTGAACAAACAGCACTAGAATCATTAGATAGTCATATGCAAAAAAGACCAAAAAAAAGCTTCAATGAATACTGCATGCCACTTGAAAGATATTGCTGACCTAAATGTGCAGCCTAAGATAATCAAACTCATAGGAGACATTACTTTGAAATGCTGGGGTTAGCTGGGTATAGGGGCACATACCTTTAATCCCAGCACTTGGGAGGCAGAGGCAGGTGGATCTCTGTGAGCTGGAGGCCAGCCTGGGCTACAGAGTGAGCTCCAGGGCAGCCAGAGCTATACAGTGAGACCTTGTCTCAAAAAACCTGCCACTACTACTATTACTACTACTACTACTCAACAATAATAAATACATAAAATAAAATAAAATGCTGCTGCTGACTAAGAATTCACTGAGGATATAGCCCTGAGGCTAGGTCTTCTAAGAGAGAGAACTGGAAGGATTTGGAAGCAAAATGGATGTTTATGGACTGAGAGAACAAGAATGGCGACCTGATGTCTTCACCCATTCTTAAGAGCAAGCGGAGAAGCACAGATATGATGAGGTGGTAGAGAGAGCCATGAGTTAAGCGGTCAGAACACTCGAAGTGTCGGCATGTGGTCCAGGCAGACGCCATGACCCTGCAATGCGTAGGGTTATTTTTTAACAACAGGTAATTCACTGCCAGGTCATAAAATGACTGCAGGTGGATTGTCTCATCGAGACGCAGGACACAGAATGAATAAAAGTTGAAGACAGTTTGGGAGAAACATCAAAACTTATGTATTGATAAAAGAAGTAGACGTAAGAAGGTAAGATATGTTGGTGGCCCTGCTTA